CCTCACCAATGCAGAATAGAGGGGGAGGAGAACCTCTCTTGACCTAGTAACCACACCCTTTCTAATGCACCCCAGGATGCCATTGGCCTTCTTGGCCACAAGGGCACATTGCTGGCTCATGGTCATCCTCCTGTCTACCAGGACCCCCAGGTCTCTTTCACCTACACTACTCTCCAGCAGTTCAGCCCCCAACCTACACTGGAACATCGTGTTGTTCTTCCCCAAATGCAAAACTCTGCACTTCCCCTTGTTGAATTTCATCATGTTTCTCCCCGCCCAACTCTCCAACCTATCTAAGTCTCTCTGAATGGCAGCACAGCCTTCTGGTGTATCAGCCACTCCTCCTAGCTTAGTGTCATCAGCAAACTTGCTGAGGGTACATTCTATACCCTTGATGAAGATGTTGAACAACACCGGTCCCAGTACTGACCCCTGTGGGACTCCACTAGTCACACACCTCCAACCAGATTCTGCCCCATTGACTACAACTCTCTGACTCCTTCCTTGTGGGTTCTTTGCTTTATATACCCCTTGCTAATAAAACATCCACAAAAAAACACAGATATATGACATGGGATTTCATTGCAGTTGGGCTGCCAGAGTTGGGATGTATATGTGTCCATCAGAAACTTACATAAAACAAACATTTAAATTATTCCATGATACAGATGTTCAGGTGTATGTATATTGAAGTCTTTTGCACTAGTATAATAAATATACAGTTGTTTTATAGATCACATTTCTATTCAGATGTCATTTTACTTATCATATGTTATCAAGTGGCATTTTAGGCATGAGTGAAGGGTAGTGGGAATTTCTGGAGGGCTGTCTCACCTCAGGCACATGACTTAAAGTAAAAACAAGCATGGAAAGGCACAAGTAATACACAGACAAATTAGCATAATTGTATAATTAATTTAGTATGTAAGAGATTAATGTGCTGCTTCTCAGCTTCTTTCAAATTATTCAAAATTTACTGAAGAATCAATCTCTGTGTTAATTCTTATTGTTTATAGAACAGTGGTATTACATGTACCCATGTATTCTTACAGGTACACAAACTTAGACTCTACAGTTTCACAATAAAATCCTGGCAAAGCTAAAGTTTATCATGTCCTCTGAAAAATCTTTTTAACCTTTCCAGGCATGGTCCCCTACTCTTGTTTCCTGAGTTAAAAAGAGGTGACTTTTTACAGTGCTCCAAACATCCCTTTCACGTGTCATAATTTCATTTTTGGCTGAGGATAAGTCTATGGAAATGTCATGTCCTAGTAGGAGCAGCTACACAGTAGAGCAGAACAGTTAGTTTTGGGGAACTATCATGTGCATTAGATGTCTTTTGTGGTGTGTTTCAAACTAGCTTACCTGGTCGATTGGCCTCAATATCTGTTAATTATGGGAGTGCATTGGCTAGACTTCGAGTTCAGCTTCATCCTAAATAAATACAATTAGGACATCCTGAGATTACTCTGAAATTAAAATTGAAGCATGGTAAACGGGGACTAGCAAAGTTGCTTCAAAAGCATGCTCATGGTCCAAGCTAAAACACTAATGGAAATGCAAACTGGGTGCTCCTGCAGCAAAAAAAAAAACCAAACAGTGTTTGATTTGCTTTCAGAGTGAGCTGTTTTGTGGTCTTAATATAGCAGATATTTTAAATACTGTTCCAATGCTTCAAGGAGATCACATACTAGGGTGTAACTGGCTGATGGTCTCTGATAAGAAAGTCGTTTGAGTTTAGAAACAGTTTGATGGCAATTCACTTTAACTAGTGGGCACTGGTTGGCTAGGTGAAGACTAGCAAAGAATCACCTACAGTCGTTTACAATATGTAACACTAGTTCCTGTACACTGCGTGGTTTGCTATGTGCAAGCTCCCTATCTCTGGCCTAAGAAATACAAAGATAAGGATTTCTTGGTTTATTCCTTTAGGTGTAATGGATGCCTGCTGGAGACAGACAGACAAAGTCCTTGGTGCCTCCAATTTTTTATTTGCATGTTATTACATTAAATGGAAATTGCATCTGCCACTCTGAGAAAGGGGTGGCAAAGGTTAAGCAATTCTTGCCTTCTGTCTTATGGCACAGAAATTGGAGTCCATGATCTGGCATCCTGCCTTACTATCACACTGCACCCCATCTGCTCACACTCCACAACCATGCAGACTGTAACTTTTCTAAGTATATGGTGTTCAGTAAAGATATGTCTGTGACTAACCATGATCAAAGTCAAAGCATTGTTCTGAACATCACCATGAAGTGTATTACAAATAGTTTTTCTGTAATGGGATGGCCTACACAGCACCAGGCTTGCTCGTGTCAGATGAGACTCACCTTTCTCAAAGGGACAACTTTACTCAGGAGCTTTGAGGACTCATTGGCAGAGCTTTAAATTAGATTTGAAGAGGCGGGAGGATATCAGGCTTCCTGGTGACAAGCTATGAGACAACATGCCAGGGCTAGAGAAGTGGGGTGCTCATGGGGGCCCTCAGCCTCTTGCTTTCAGATGTGCTGGACACACTGAAGTACACTTGAATTCTTACAGAAATGAGGCAGGGGCTCCTGAGGTAATAGGAGCCAACAGAGAAGCACCAGAAGTACCTCAAAGGAATTCCAGCCACTCCAGCCAGTAAGTCAGCTTGGATGAACAAGAACGAACTCCAGCACAAAAAAGAAGCCTACACAGGGTAGAAGCAAGGACAGGTAGTCTGGTGATGAATACAGAAAAAGTCCAAGCAGCCACTGAAGCCTAAAGCCCTGATTGAATTCCACTAGGACAAGGACATCAAAGGCAACAAGAAAAGCTTCTATAGATATGCCACTGATTAAAAGGAAGACTAGGGAAAATGTTGGCCCTCTCTGGAAGGAAAGAGGAGACGACGTCACACAGGACATGAAGAAGGCTGAGGTACTCAATGCTTTTTGGCTCAGTCTTCAGTGGCAAATGGTCAAGCCACACTACCCAAGTCACAGAAGAAAAAGGCAGGGACTGGGAGAGTGAAAAATCCCTCAAGATCAGGGGCAGATCAGGTTTGAGACCACTTAAGGAACCTGAATATGCACATGGGACCTGATGAGATCCATCTGCAGGTCCTGAAGGAATTGGTGGTTGAAGTTGCTAAGCCACTATCTTTAATATTTGAGAAGTCATGACAGTCTACTGAAGTTTCCACTGACTGGAAGCATAACCCTCGTTTTCAAAAAGGGAAAAGAACAAGATCCAGGAAACTAAAGACCAGTCTCACTTTTGTGCATAGCAAGATCTTTGAGTAGATTCTCGTAGAAACTATGCTAAGGCACTTGGCAAACAAACATATGATTGATGACATTGACATGGATTCACCTAGGGCAAATCATGCCTGACAAATCTGGAGGCTTTCTGTAGTGGGTTACAGCATTGGTGGTTAAGGGAAGAGCCACTGATGTCATCTACCAGGATTTGTGCAAAGCATTTGATGCTGTCCCACATCACATCATTGTTTCAAAGTGGACTTGACAGGTGGAACACAGTGGGTAAGGAATTGTCTAGCTGGTCGCACTCAAAGAGATACAGTCAATGTCTTGATGTCCAAGTGGAGATCTGTGATGAGCGACGTTCCTCAGGGGCTGGTATTGGGACCAGTGCTGTTCAACTTTTTTGCCAGTGACACGGACAGTGGAATTGAGTGCACCCTCAGCGAGTTTGCTGATGACACCAAGCTGTGTGGTGTGGTCATGATGCTGGAGGGAAGGGAGGCCATCCCGAGGCACCCTGACAGGCTTGATAGGTGCAAACTTGATGAAGTTTAATAAGGCCAAGTGAGCATTTCTGAACATTGCCTTGGGCAATCCCAAGCAAAAATGTAGGCTGGGTAGATAATGGATTGAGAACAGCCCTGAGGAAAGGAACTTGGGGGTGTTGGTTGATGAGAAGCTCAACATAAGCCAGTAATATGTGCTTGCAGCCTAGAAAGCCAACTGTGTCCTGGGCTGCGTCAAAAGAAGTGTGGCCACTTCTTTTGGTTAAGGAGGTGATTCTTGCTCTCTACTCTGCTGCTCTTGTGAGACCACACACAGAGTACTGCATCCAGTTCTGGAGCCCCCAACACAAGAAGGACATTGATTCGCTGGACCAAGTCCAGAGGAGGGCCACAAAGGTGATCAGAGGGCTGGAGCACTTCTACAAAGACAAGCTGAGAGTGGGACTTGTTCAGCCTGGAGAAGAGAAGGCTCCAAGGGGAGCTTTTAGTGTCCTTCCTATAACTGAAGGGGGCCTACAGGAAATCTCTAGAGGGACTTTTTACAACGGAAGTAGTGACAGGACAAGGGGTCATGGATTAAAACAGGAGGAGGGGAGATTTAGGTTAGACACTAGGGAGAAATTCTTTTGTGTGGGGGTGGTAAGACACTGAGACAGGGTGCCCAAGGAAGTACAAGTTGGATGGGGCTTTGAGCAACCTGATATAGCGGAAGGTGTCCCTGCTCATGCCACGGGAGTTGGAGCTAGACAATGTCATTCCTGCCCAAACAGCTCTATGTTTCTATGAAAAGTTCTCACACCATGTAAATAAACAAAAAAAAAATTCGAAGTTAAGCGTTTAATAGACTATACTAGTGTTATTTGATCATTAATTCTTGTTTTGAATTACTAAACCTCAAATTTGATATTTCACATGTTTTAAGTACAAAAATAGGCAGAGGTTACTGTATGAAGTATTGCAAGTCTGGCTTAATAAACCATTGAATGTCATAAGGTTATTTACAAATATTTTGTTGGCCTAAATGTTAGGAGTGCTATCAGTGCAGGTCTAGTGATCTGCTATAGATCCCCTTGTTAAAAACTAAGGACAGTATCACAGATGTTTTGGTTAATGTGGGAATTTAGACTTTGCTTTTTGACTCTATGAAAATATGTTACTTTGTATGAAATATCCTAGGGACAATTAACTTTTACATTTACAAGTCACATTGGTTTTGCATTTGCAACTACTGTCAGTGAGAGTGTCCTTTCCTTCCTTTTAGAAAAGACGACGACGGATTGACCGAAGCATGATTGGGGAGCCAACAAACTTTGTTCATACAGCTCATGTAGGATCAGGAGACCTGTTCAGTGGAATGAATTCGGTAAGTGTGAGCAGATTAAGACTGTTTCATCTTAGAATACAGGAACACTATAAATGCATTTTGTGGCTGAAGCAATGTGTCTTTCAACTATAAGAAAGAACCTCGAGAAAACTGAGATACAACCTGCTAGTGTCTTAATTCTGAGCCCTGGACACTTGCATCCAAGACTGTGAATATAATTTTTAAAATTCCTGTATTTATTGACAACACATAGTAGATGCTGTATAAATTATATAGGCTATGTGTAGAATTTTCACGGTTTAGGCCTAGCCAGTAATTACCAGGCATCCTCTCACTCACCTCTCCCCCACACTGGGGGATGGGAAGGAGAAAATCTAACTAAAAGCTTGTTAATCAGTACAAGGGCAGGGAGGATTCACTTACCAATTATAGTCATGGGCAAAACAGACTCAGCTTAGGGAAAAAATCAATTTAATTTATCACAAATCAAATCAGAGCAGGACAAAAAGAAAACAAAACAAGATCTTAAAAACCTTCCTCCCACCCCTCCTTTCTTCCCAGGCCCAAATTACTTTACTCCTTGTTTCTCTGCTTCCTCTCCACAGCAGTTCAGGGCAACAGGTAGTGTAGTTTATGGTCAGTTTGTCACACATTGTTTTCTGCTGCTCAGATGGCTTTTATGTACCAAAATAAAGGTATATTTTTACTAGAATATTTAAGAGAAAACTTTAAAATGTATATTTAGATTGGCTTAACTTAAATTGACTTAAAGCATTACCTTAAGTGCTTTAAGCTATTTTACATGTAGTTAACACAAAACTCTTAACTTACCTTGATCTATGATGTTTATTTTTATGTGTCCTTGTTGAGGTTTTTCTATATAGATTTCTTCTGTACATATTCGTATTTATGTGAAAGGTGAATCTGTTTTTAAGGTCAATAATACGGAATCTAGAAAAAGATGGTGTGTAGATCACAGAATCATAGAATCTTAGGGGTTGGGAGGGGCGTTGAAAGATCATCTAGTCCAACCCCCCTGCCCGAGCAGGGTCACCTAGAGCACCTCACACAGGAACGTGTCCAGGTGGGTTTTGAATGTCTCCAGTGAAGGAGACTCCACAACCTCTCTGGGAAGCCTGTTCCAGTGCTCTGTCACTCTCACAGTAAAGAAGTTTTTTCTGATATTTACATGGAACCTCCTATGTTCCAGTTTGCACCCATTTTCCCTTGTCCTATCACTAGACATCACTGAACAAAGCCTGGCTCTGTCCTGACACTTGCCCTTAACATATTTGTAAACATGCATGAGGTTGCCCCTCAGTCTGCTCTTCTCCAAGCTGAAGAGACCCAGCTCCCTCAGCCTTTCCTCATCAGGGAGATGTTCCACTCCATCATCTTGACAAGAGAAGAAAGAGTTCTGTCAGAGGCATCAGAATAGAATGCAGAGCTGTAAAGGAAAGAGGCAACTATAATGTAGGCAAGTGAAGTCGTTTGCAGTTTCAACCAGGTTACAGTGCATTGTGATCCAGCATAAACTTTTGTACTACAGTATGAACTGGGGGAGGGCAAAACTAGAAAGTCTTACCTGACAAACAATATACTGCATTTTCCCAGAAACAACCTAGTGAATTAGAAGTGATTTGTACTAAGATATCTGTAAGCAAGTTAAATGGACAAACACAGCTTCAACTTGATAACATTCAGTTAAAACTAATTACCCATTTAATGCAATATATTACTTTAATATTTAAAGCCATTATAAATTGAAATAATAAAGTCATACTAAAATGAGCAAGTTTGGGTTTTGTTGTGTTTTGTTGGTTTGTTTGTTTGTTTGTTGGGGGTTTTGTGGGGTTTTCTGTTTGTTTGTTTGTTTCAGCATGGTGTTTTGCTTGTTGTTCCTTCTGTGAGAACTTTCCTCATTCTCACAGCTGAGCTGCCTAATATGAGTTTTCTGGTGATGCCTGAAGCTTTGCTCTTTCACCTCAAACTATACCCCTGCTTGCCCTCTCCTTTGCCTTGCATAATATCCATTTCATCTCCAGAGAGCAGGTAATAATTATTATCTCTCTACACAGTTTGAATTCTCATGATTGGTTATCTCTTTCTCTCACTTTTCTTAATTTGGGTCATGTGCTGTATCAGTGGCCAGAGTGATATTTTTTTCTGGTCCCAGACAGAAAGAATCTGTATGCAAAAAATAATCCTTTTTCTTGTCTCTCTTGTCTCAGAAGCACAAATCTTCTGCTTTTTCACACTGCTTATTTTCCTGTTTCTTCTGAGGTGACTTAGTGTGGTAATACTCCATCCAGCTTCCTTGTTCATTCTTCACAGTGTAAACTCTGAGATCAAGGTTTTAATTTACATGTTTTTCTGCTGCTTAGTCTCCTTTACAATGTGGACATTATACTCCTTTGTGAACTTCCTTATGCCTTCTCTCTTCTGAACACCTTAGGATGACATCCTGCAATTTAATTAGCTTTTCCTGCATGTATGTGGCTCATAATCCACTATCTGCTCTGTGCCTTTTTTCATCAGCGTTGCTCTTCATTACGTGTCCTTATGATTCTGAGTACAATAGTTTTCTGACTACTGGAATGTCTCGCTTTTTTTTGTTTGCCTTCTCTGTAGAGCAGCTTGTTTCTTTGTCAAAGGTATGTTTAAACAGCAAGACCCCTTTATGCACTGTTCCTTCTCATTCCTTTCTCTTTCTTATTTTACCTTCATATTTCCTGGTGAGAACTCTCACTTTCTTTTGCTTCATAATCCTCTGTTTAGTCCTTGATTTCTTATATTCTGTCCTTTCCTTAGTTTCTTGTTATTTTCCTTCCCAAGGACCCTCTGTACTATTTCCTAATTCTAGAAGGAAAGGTGAAAAAGAAAATAGGAAATTAATGATATAGATAAGCAGCACAGCAGATTGTATGATCTGTAATTGGTGCAATCCTTTCCCTTCCAAAATCCTAATCTATTTAAATTAGGCATAAGAGAGAAGATCTTTGCTATTATGTATCATTAAAGGAAGGCAATAGTATCTTTGGGAAAGAAAAAATAATTATATTTTGTGATGTTCATTCCTGTAGCTCAAACTCCCTCAAAAGGAGGATGCTTCAGAAAAAATGCCACATTATAAGTTAGACCTATATTAATGCCACATTAATAGTTAGACCTGCTTTTTGCTCAAATTTTTAATAATTTTGTCTCCTATATTTTTTCCTATACAAAATGAAACCTTGCCAGGGAAGGGGATCCTGAATTCATCCCACTGACACCACTTTAAGGCCAGTGCATGCACATGTGTGACTGAGAGCAGCCAGAGGCCATGTGGGGACAGCTCAGCACTATGAAGAAACACTGCTTTTTTTTTTTTTATCTTTTCAAGGAAAATCTCCTTGGTAGCCCATGGTTGTATCCCAGGGCAGGGAGACAGACCAATCCAGTGCCAGCTGAAATACCTAAATAATTATTGGACAAATAAACAATATGCATTGCATACTATTTACCAGTTCTCTCTCAGTTCTAGGGAAGATTGGGATTATAATCCAGTTAAAATAACATAGAGAAAAAATTCTGAAGTGCCTTAAGTGGAGCCAAATTATAGCCCAAGCTCTACATAACCCAAGAGAATTGTGAGTACTAAAAATCTGAACCTGGATTTAAGTGGTGATATCAGTGGAAGACACCTCTTTGTTACTATATAGATAATTACTGTATCTCCGCTTGGATCTCCCAGACTACTCAGAATTCTGTCCTTCTACTGGTTCTGAAATGTTTGACTTGGCTCTGGGCCTGAAGAAGGATGACAGGCAAGCAAGAGAACACCTAAAATCCAGGAGAATGTAATCCCAGTCAGTACAACAGCTCTGATGGGGCCCCAGCTTAAATTCCTCTGTGCAAATGCACATGGCATGGTGGACAAATGAGAAGTTTCAGATGTTCACACCTGCAGGAGCATGATGTTACTGACATCATGGAGATGTGGTGGGATGACTCCTGTGACTGGAGCATGGGCATGGATGGGTAAAAGCTCTTCAGGAAGGACAGGCAGGGAGAAGAGGAGGAGGTGTTGCCCTCTGCATCAGTGACCAGCTGGAGTCCATGGAGCTCTGCCTGTGGACGGATGAGGAGCTGACTGAGTGTATCAGGCCATCTATAGGCAGATAGAAGCAGCTTCGCATTCGCAGGCCTGGTTCTCATGAGGAATTTCAACCACCCCGACATCTGCTGGAAGGACAACACAGCAAGTCACTGGCAACCCAGGAGGCTCCTTGAGTGTATTGATGACATTTTCCTTCTTTATGTGGTTGAGGAACCAATGAGAAAAGGTGCTATGCTTGTTTCCACCAAGGATGGGCACGTGGACAATGTGAAGCTTAAGGGCAGCCTTGGCTACAGTGACCATGAAATGGTGGAATTCAGGATGGTATGAAGCAAGCTCACTACCTTGGCCTTCAGTAGAGCAGACTTTGGCATCTTCAGGGATCTGCTTGGTAGGGCGCCATGGGATAAAGCCCTGGAGGGGAGAGATGCCCAAAAAAAGGTGGTCAACATGCAAGGATCACTACCAAGCCCAGGAGCAATGTGTCCTGACATAGAGGAAGGCAGACAAGAATTCCATCAGGCCTGCATGGATGAACAAGGAACTCCTGGACACATTCAGGTGTAAAAAGAAAGTCTACAGAGGGTAAAGCAAAGACAGGTATCCTGGCAGAAATACAGAGTAATGATCCAAGCATCCAGGGATCAGGTTAGGAAAACTAAAGTTGTGATAGAATTCCATCTGGCTAGGGACATGAAGGGGAACAATTAGTACATCAGTGATAAAAGAAGGACAAGGGAAAATGTGAGCCCTCTCCAGGAGACCGGGATATGGAGAAGGCTGAGGTGCTCAATGACTTTTTTGCCTCACTCTTCACTGTCAAGGGCTCTGGCCACACCACCCAAGTTGCAGAGGGAACAGGATATCTGCCCACGGTAGGAGAGCAAGTCTGAGATCATCTAAAGAACCTGAAGGTGCACAAGTCAAGAGGGCCTAATGATATCCATCCACAGCTCCCAAGAGAACTGGTGGATGAAGTTGCAAAGCTGCTTTCCATCATATTTGAAAAGTTGTGGCAGTCTGCTGAAGTTGACACTGACTGGAGATGGGGAAACATAACCTCCATTTTCAAAAACGGATAAAAAGAAGACCCAGGGAACTACCTCTATGCCCATCAAGACTTTTGAGCAGGTCCTCCTAGAAACTATGCTGAGGTAATTAATGACAGCCAACATGGCTTCACCCATGGCAAATCATGCCTGACATATTTGGTGGCTATTTACAGTGGGGTCATAGCATTGGTGGACAAGGGAAAAGCAACTGACATCATGTAGCTGGACTTGTGCAAAGTGTTTAATGCTTTCCTGCACAGTGTTCTTGTCTCTAAATTGAAAAGATATGGGTGGAATGGATGGACCTCTCAATGGATAAAGAATTGGCTGGATGGTTGCAGTCAAAGAGTGATGTTTGATGGCTCCATGTCCAAATGGAGATGATTGATTACTGACATTCCCTGTCAGTATTGTGACTCAGTGATTAACATCTTTGTCAGTGACATAGACAGTGAGTGCACCCTTAGCAAGTTTGCTGATGACACCAAGCTGCATGGTGTGGCTGGCATTGAGAGGGACCTGACAGGCTACAGATGTGAGCCTGTGCATGTTTAATAAGGTTCAGTAACGCCAAGTGCAAATTCCAAGTGTAAGTTCCAAATGCAAGAACACCCCTGAGGAAAAGGACTTGGGGGTGTTGGTTGATGAGAAGCTCAACATGAGCCAACAATGTGTGCTTGCGACCCAGAAAGCCAACCATGTCATGGGCTGCATCAAAAGAAGCGTGGCCAGCAGGTCAAGGGAGGTGATTCTCCCCATCTTTGCTGCTCTGTGAGACCCCACGTGGAGTTCTGTGTCCAGTTCTGGAGTCCCTAACACAAGAAGGAATGAGTCCAACACACTGCTGGAGCGAGTCCAGAGGAGGGCCACAAAGGTGATCAGAGGGCTGGAGCACTAATGCAATGAAGTCAAGCTAAGCGTGGGGCTTGTTCAGCCTGGAGAAGAAAAGGCTCCAGGGGGACCTTTTAGTGGCCTCCTAGTAACTGAAGGGGCTACAGGAAATCCGTAGAAGGCAGTAGTGAAAGGACAAAGGGTAACAGATTAAAACTGGAGGAAGGGTGATTTATGTTAGACACTAGGGAGAAATTCTGTTGTGTGAGTGTGGTGAGACATTGGGACACCTTGTGCAGGGAAGTTGTGGATGCCCCATCCCTAGAAGTGTTCAAGGCCAGGTTGGATGGGGCTCTGAGCAACCTGATTTAGTGGAAGGTGTCCCTAGTTCATAGTAGGGAGATTGGAAGTAGATGATTACTTCCAACTCAAATCATTCTATAGTTCTACAAAAGTGGCCACTGAACTGTTAATGCAGTAAGTTTAATTTGCTGCAAGTAGTTAGTCTATAAGATGACATGGCCTGGAAATATTTTTCTAGCTCTTTTTCACCAGACAGTTCATTCACATGAAATGGATGCCATCTTCAAGTCATTCTTTTGAATACATTTACATTTAGATTAATTTCTGAGGAAAAGAAAGATTAAATTCAAACTCCTTTTGTTCTGATGAACAACAGAAGATGCTTGGTGAAGGAGATTACCAGCATGGTTGTATGTGCAAGTTTTTAAGCATCACTTCATGAATGTGGTTGCATTTCTCGACACTTACTTAGAGTTTGTAAGTCTATGATGTCAAGACCCACTAGAGTATTGGCTCTGAACACTTTTCCCTGAAGAAAAATGTCAATAGGACATTTTGTTGCTGCAAATGCAGCACTTATTTAAGCAAAGCACTAAAGTGATGGTTTTACATTGTGCTGTTTAACTACACAAAAAAAAAATTATCTTCTGCCACAGCACTGCAGTATGTCATACAATTGAAGACAAAGGTCCTAAAGCAGGTTCTTTTTTTCCCACTGGTTTGAGAAACAGTGTTTAAGAAACAATTGTGCTGATTCATTTTGTGTGCGCGCATGCATTTTGCTTTGCTGTGGAAAAGAATACAGCCTTTTGTCTTTGCCTATTATATTTTTTTAAGTAATGGTGTCAACTTGATAACTTTATCACACTTGGGAAGTACAGTTTCCATATAGCAAGATAAATTATAGGAGTTGGTTATCACTAAGAGGTTTTATGGGTTGGCTTTTTTTTTTCTTTTTTTTTTTAGTAATAAAGTGGCTTAGGGAAGGCCTGAGAAAAAACTGCCTGAGAACAAGTTCTTCCATCTCTCCTGCTGCACTGCCTGCAGAAGTGAAAATTCCCATAAGCCTGCACTGCACATATTCTCATGAAAAAATAGTAAATGTAGCTTTTATGTAAAGGAGCACTTGGAAAATAGACCTGAACAAGAAATAAAATTGGAAGTAAGATGCCATAAGTCGCTAATTGCCTTCCTTGCTTTCTTTAACCCCACTTTCCCTTCTGTCTCCAGGTCAGCTCAATTCAGAACCAAATGCAGTCCAAGGGGGGATATGGAGGTGGCATGTCTGCAAATGTTCAGATGCAGCTTGTAGATACAAAAGCAGGATAACCCTGGGGAAACCTTTCCAGTAAGTACTCACTTAGCTTTTCAGACACTGTTAAGAGTAGTAGGAAGAAAAAGCATTCTACTTCATAATTAGCTCCCTATAAATAGCTGTGCCTTTATGATGCCCAATTTAAAAGTGCATTTCTAAGTAAAAAATTCAATAATGTAGGCATGTTAATTTTTTTATACAATGAACAGAGATTGTTCTTGCAGACTGTATCATTCATCTGTAAGCCTGCTTTATACCTAAGATGATATTGTAGGCAAATCTTTGCAAGTCAAGTTAGTTGTATAACAAATTTCAGAAGAATTTTGTTACGTGATTAGGGTACCATTTTTATGACAGTTTCACCTATGTAAGCATAATATACATGTTAAATGAGGGAACAGCAATGTTACAATAGGAAAATGGTCACTCAGAATGTTCAAAATTCAATTTAATGTGTGTTTTCTGTTTTCCAGGTTTATTTGAGTTCCTGTATCTTCTTTCCTGTGTCCCCTCTTTGCCTTGGTGACTGCTTTTTGTGCTCATGGCAAGAGAAGTGATGGCTCATTGTTTGCTCTCTGTGATTACTGCAGTTAAAAGTTCCTGTTCTGCTCTGATGATGCCATTTCTCAGATTGGTCTGACTGTGCCTTTCAGTGGCATACACATGTTGGCCTCTACTGATATCATGGATATAGAGCTGTTTAGAATTGGGTTTAGCTTTTTTTTTTTTGTTTTAAAGCAAATGAAAGCACCAACCCTTGAATCCCTCACCCCTCACAAATACTAATGCACAACACTCCATTGCTTTTTAGTCTTTAAATCTTTTCTCCACTCAATTAATTTAGAAATTAATGAGTTTCCATTAATATCTTAAATCGTCTGTTCTTCATATCGACTTTTGAAAGGTCTGGGACCTGCAAGCACAGTGATTTTATACAAAATCAGCTGAGTTGACTTCATATAGTGGCCCACTTGGTGCTAGAAGGTAAAAAATAATGCATATTGCAGACTGCTGACAATTTTTTCTGTAGCACCAGTTCCTGCTTGTTTCTGAAAAAGGACTTGTAACTTAGCTACTTCAGAGTTATGTCTTTATTTTAGTTTTTATTAAACTGGTCTTGAAATAATAGAGAGCTTGCATTCATGAGGCATTTGTTGTAAATGTTCAGTATATTTATTTTGAAAGAGATGACCTTGAGGCTGTAAACCAGTGTAGTACCATATCTAAGTGTTGTGGAAGTTCTTTAGGCTATTTAAAAAAGAAAAGCATCATGTTTGGCTGCTTCTTTTTCTTTCTACAGTTTTTCTTAATTTGGAGCTGTATGGTCATTTCCAGTAGCAGCATGTCAGACTGCCTGCAATATTAGCTGAAAAGTTTAGTAGACTTCTCTGAGTAATTGGAGTTTCTGTGTACTAAATATTATGGGGATATGGTAGTTCCTAGGAGCAACATAATAATCTGGCAGAGCAGATGCTAATGAAAACAACATACAGGGTAACTTTTTAGTAAGTCAGTAAAATGTCTTTTGCTCAGGTTCCAAAGCATGTTTATTTTATACATTGTGAAATTGTATTGTGATATTGTCTTGTTTTCATTTTATCTATAAATGGTCCCTTTTCCTCCTCCTTGCTGATGGTTAGAGGGAAGTCAATGATTTGAGTCCTGGTTGAGTTAAATTTTTATGTGTTAAAAAAAACATTCTAACAAATAAAGCATAACTGAGCCTAGTCTGATCCATTTTTATATGTTAAAACTCACATGTTCATAAATATAGATTATTGTCATAGATTATTTTTTATTCTTTTTCCATCCTTTCCCTGATTTCTTATTGCAACAGCTGTCAGGATGATTTAACAAGTATGAACCTACCTAATATTCTCTCTCAGTTTGCTAAAAACAAACAAAATACAGAGCTGAGGAGGTAGTTTGCCTTCCCTAAGATAGGTGTCAGTTACCTGGTTGAATAGTTCCAATTGGGTTGGATGGTCTTCACTGATAAAGGTAGTGATTTGTTAGAACAGAAGGTCAAGGTATCCAAATGTCTAGGTGCATGAACTCATGGCAGTGCAGTGATATTTATTTTAGGGGTCAGCATTTCCAGTGCCACTTTATAAATGAGTCCTAAATATACTACAGTTACATAATTATTAAAACTTTGTCTTTGATAATAGCTGCTTAAATTTGCTTGCCAAACCTATCTTGCACTTGTCAAAAAGTTTTTCATTTCAATAGCCAGAAAAAAGAATGACATATTTTTATAACAGACATACTTTTTTTTGTACATTCTGTTCATTCTTCAATAAAGCCAGTTCAGTGTTGACTTGTAGATACTAAAATGAAAAGTATTGTCTTTGATTTAATAAATGTTTTCTTTCAGTTGATGGCCTACCTTTTTTCTTTTTTGTAAGTTACGTTTGCATTAGAAAAGCACTTCCAGCCTGTGGACACATTTGTGCTGAAAATTCTCTGAAGAGCAACCTATCAGTGTCAATAAGTAATTTGCATGTTTGGTTTTATTTTCATCCCACTTGGCCCTTTTGTTCCCAGTGGGTTAAACCTTAATTTTACTGGCAATTTTGTTGCATCGATTTAGAGTGCATACCAGGGACTTCTGCGAGGATCTTCAAGGGAAAATTGCTTTTAAAAATACATGGCAAACCTTAATATACAGGATTTCTTTCCTTTTGAGTGCAACTGGTGTGTGTGTTACTTTCCTGGTTGTGATGCAGATTCCTGCGGTGAGTAGTAGAAGACTTAATTGTACAACTCATCCCCATAATTTGCACATCTGCATTAAATATACTTGCAAGGCACAATATTGTCTACTCTGTATTTTACTCAATTAATTTTTTTATGTTTGCCATTCTCCAAGTTAAGTTTGTAAGAACTCATTCACAACTTTAAATTTCATGCTAAATTCTTTTGAAGACTGGTAATGAATTTTAAAGCTCATGGCAAGTTATTGAAATTGACAGTTGTGGAAAAAAGATAGTTCTAAAGGGAAGGAAAGATCAAGATAAAACCATGAGATACCAAACAACTAGAGGGTTATTTTCTTTCATTGGTGAGGGTATAGAAGCTTAGTACTGTCTACAAAGGTGTGTCTTGAAAAGCAGATGTTTAAATAACATATTGAAGAGGGAGTCAACCTATTTACACTTAGTCTTTAGTCTGTTTAGCTGTCTAAAGAAGCTGTATGAGTCAATCCCTTTTGTACCTTTTTTAATTTTTAAGCAAGAAAGTGCTGCATTAGAAACCAAGTCTCTGAACATTGTCTTGGTCCCAAGTAGCATTGTACTCTGATACCCAAGAAAACCCCACCCTACAGATGCAGAAAGTTAGTTACATAGTCTTTTTGTCTGTATGCATGTGAACAGGGCCCCTTCCCAGAGAATAGAAAGTGATTTTTGAGCTTCATAAAGGTTCTGCAGTACTTCAGTACTTCATTGTATTTCCTGATCTCCATCTTCCATGAAGATCCCTGTGCATGCCACTCAAAAGATCTCTCTTTATATGCATTAAAAGAAGATAAATACTGTCTTTCCTTCTGAAACTAGTAGGGATCAGTATAGAGTTTACCAAATAAAGTTATTTGGGTTTTATAAATTTGTGAAAACAGTTTAATGGAAGAGACCTGGGTAGTACACATTGCCACAGATCAAAAGCTTTTGGTGAGGATTTCAAACTTACTGGGATCTTACAGTTTCAAAATAATGCATTTACAGAATCACAGAATCACATTTTAATTTTAACAGTAAAATTCCCATTCTTTATTCCATATCCCTTTTTCTATGATCATAGTTACTCATGGAAGACTATGCACAATTATGGATATTATTATTATTGCTATTATTAAATTCACTATTTACTTTTAACATTTTCTTATTCCTTAAAAGCAGTTTTAACATGATAGATTGATGAAATCTGGACTAAATTGCGGATTTAGAGTTTTTATGCAATTCCATAAGCACAAATAGTTTTTATCAGGACACAAAACACTTTCAGGGTAAAAACATTACAGGCTCAGCATTTGGAATGTGGTTTTGAGGCTTCTTTTTTATTAAGTCTATAAAAACATGATGGTTGCAACCTTAGGCTACAAGTTCACTGTAAAACTATTCTACTAATGGTAAGAAGATTTAAAAATTTTAAGCAGGAAGTACTACCTTGTTTCTGAAAAAGTTCACCTGCCTGAGATGAATAGCACATGCAACATGAGGTACTGGGAAACAAATTGATACCCAGTGAGGGAATTGCCAAGCAGTGAGTAAGATTCCCCAGAATGAGATGTAATGAAAATACAACTATTTCCTGCTGGCAAAAGCTGTGTATCAAAGTAGCAGTAGGTAAATTGTAGATGGTTCTTTCAATGTTTGCTGTTAGGAGATGAGGAGTGATCTGTGCGTAGACACAATAAGCCAACATAACTAGAAGTTCTCATGGACTTGAGCAAATTACACTGTTAAGGTGCAAGTCATATATATAGATGGAATCATCAATGGATATGTATAGCTCTGATTAGATTCCTTGAAAATCAACAGGCACATGACCAGACAAAACACAGAATAACATCCTTCTCTGTTGATAGATGTCCTACGTTATACAATATTGGCAGATATGAGAGCATTATTTTATATATGAGCTTATATTAAAAGTTTATGTAATGGAGATAACTGCATGTACTCTTCAGGATTTCAGAAGAAGCAAGCCCATTTGTTTTCACTCTATTCGTGGCATGAAGCAAAGTGCTCATATATGGGCACCTTGTTACTTATTATTAAATCTGCTATATATGATTTTTAAATGTGCACTGTTTTATAAATAAATTTAAATATATTTAATTGTCTTTAGCATCCTGAATATTAATTATGCAGTCCTGACTGTAGATCCATATGCAGTAACTGTGACATGAAAGCTTATTAAAAAATGTCTTGGCTCTGCCAATGATTAGTAGAAGTATTTCAAAGGCCTCTTGCTAAGTCTCATCTACTTACCCTCACACTTTGTGCTAGCACTGCCACTGATTTGGCTGCTTAGCTGACTGTATTGGGTAACTAAAGTAAAGTAAAGATTGGAGTGTTTGCCAAATTGGTTCGTTTCTACCTGGATCAGTTTCTTAGGGTGATCATGGGAGAGAGTGGCATGGGATCAGAAAGAATCTGTTACGGGGAGCATAGTTTAACCTGGCTGTGGAAAAGCATCAAGCTTTCTGAAGTACAAACAAACAAACAAACAAACAAGAACATTCAGCCTAGTGACAAAACTTAGCCACAGCTGGAGCTGTGAATACATCTACTAAAAAGCCACTTCCACTTTTTGGGAGCTTCTCCACTTCTCCAGAGAAGGAGAATCTACAACCCCTCTGGGCAGCTATTCCAGTGCTCTGTTACTCTCACATAAATAAGTTTTTCATTATGTTTAACTTGACCCTCCTATGCTCCAGTTTGTGCCCATTGCCCCTTGTCCTATTATTAGACACTGGAGAAGATAGACTGATACCACCCTACTGACACCCACTCTTTAGATATTTCTAAGCACTTATAAGATCCCCCCTCAGTCTTCCTCTCCAGGCTACACAGACCCAGGTCTCTCAGTCTTTCCTCATATGGTAGATGCTGCAGACCCTTAATCACCTTAGTGGCCCTGTGCTGGACTTTCCCAGCAGTTCCCTTTCCTTGATAAACTGAA